CAAGAAGAAAATCGGACCGATTTTGGAGATCTTTTTTTTTCAGGTTCTATATGTTTTCTATGTCCTACATGTGACTGACATGTCCCGCTCTGATAGCCGCATTTCTCCTAGGTCCATTTGTTCATGTTCACTTACCCCCACTTTTGCCAATTGTTGTTCATCCTGGTTTCCAATGCTTGGTGCTTTTTGATAGGGGTTTTCACCTCCAACCCCCCCCCCCCCCCAAAAAAAAAACAACAAAAAAACAAAAAAAACCTTCAAACCGGGTGGGATCAAAACGGGTGGGTAGTTTGGGGGAAATCAAGGGGTTTATCCAACCGCTTTTGTGATACAAGTTGGAATCTCCACCTTGATTTTTGTTTGAGGGGCTCGCCTTTGGGAAGCCCTTTTTGTATCACAGAGGCGGATTCAAAGTCTTTGGTTGTATCACAGTGGATTCCCTTTCCCACTTCTTCCGCTGGTTGCTCATGCTGTTTTCCAATGCTTGTGCCTTTTGGTGGGGGTCACCTCCAACCCCCCCCCCCCCACCCCCCCTTCCAAACAGTCGAAGCGGGGAGTCCCAGGCGCGGTCTTTGCGGGGGAGGGCATGCTGCTGGGCCTCCGTGCCTTCCCCGTGCTGGCGGCGTCCAGCCTTTTTGGCTGCGGCCTCATGCGCCTCGCAGATGTTTTCTTCGCTCCGGGGTCTGGGGTTTGGGGTTTGGGCTGTGGTTGGAAGGGAATGGAAACCCACCTCTGAAATATATAAAGGGCTTCCCAAAGACGAAGTTTTTTTTTTTTTTTTGGAGGATTCCAACTCACAGAAGTCGGGAAAGCCCCGGAGTGATCCGCAACGTGGTTCGGGGCTTGTCAAAAGGCCCCCAGCATTTCCCCAAGCTAAGTTGAATCCTTCGCACCTTTGGGACGCGGCAAGAACATATCAAAGTTGATCCAAGAATGTCCAAGGACCGACAAATTACTAGCTGGTGGTTGGAAGGGGGGTTACCCAACATCGGTTTTTTGAAGAGGGAGCCTTTCGGAGCTTCCAGCAGCTGTGAGGACATGGTAGCTGGAGCTTCTTTGGTGCATTTTGCTTGGATGTTAGGACTGAGCAACTTTTTGCCAACTAATGAATGGGTTTTCCGTATTAAACCGCTAAAAGTTGTCAACTTTTAGCAGGGGAGAAGAAAGCAAGCGAGGCTTGGGTCGTTTTGGTCTTTTGTTTTTGGTGATAGGAAGCCAGCCATTCCGCTCACCTAAGCTCCGCTTCGGCTCACCTAGAGCCCAAGCTTGGTTTCGCCTAAAGGGCGAAACGCGTTTGGCTCCGGAGTCTGGTGTTTGGTTCTTGGTAGGTGCTTTAATGTTCTGGCGTCTGTACTGCTATTGGGTTGGATCTTTAACTTTTTGGATTTCCCTCATATTTCCTTTTAACCAGCAAAAGCTAAACTTTTTGCTTGGGGATCCACAGCACCCAAGGTGTATGCGCTCGATGTTTGCTTTTGGGTGTTTGCCTTTCCTTTTGGAAGCCTGACTCGGGCTTTGCAAGGGCACATAAAGCCACATTCAACAAAAAGGCCTTCCTGGATCTCGTTGTGCCATAGCCGAACCCTTCACGTCCTGCAAACATGACGGTCTAAATTGAAGGGGTGAGTCTTATAGAAAAGCCACCGATTGGCGCAACATTACTGTTTAAACTCAGAGAGTGGATTTTGTTTAGGGCACCCCCTTCGGTTGGCTTCAATCGGACACCACAAGGAAGACAACCTTTTGGTGGTCAGATATGGTCAGCTTCGCTTGCTTGATTCCCACCGTGTATGTGTGTGTGTGTGTTTTGTTCGGAGCCCCTTGTGCTAGATTTGACTGGAAAACCAGCAGGAAGCCAAACCCATTTGGGGGGGTCAGCTTTCTTCATATTGACCACCAACATGCTGGCATGGCTTCCCCATGCCTGCCATCTGAGGGTGACGTCGCTCTACCTGGCCGGCGACCGCGCTTTGATAGGAGCGGCTTCGTTCGACGCGGTCTTTGCTGCAGGGCGCGATTTGAGCGGCGAGCTGGGACTCTTCAACGCAGACCTCCAATAGTGCCCAGCTTCGTCAATTGTTGCAGAAGAGGCTCCCTTGAAATTGTGTCCGCACAAACGCGGCGCACTTCTTTCCCTTGGCCACCAAAAGCCCAAACAAGCTGTTTGGCCTTTTTTCTCACCGTGCGAGCCCTATGAGCCTGTACTTGACTGTTGGTATGAGTCTTTCTTCAGTTGTTGCGTGTTTGGTTCTGATCAAGGCAGGTTTTTTGCCAGGGGTGCTACAAAGAACCGACGTGTCCGCTGACTTACCAGGGGTTGGGAAGCCTTCGAAGTAAAACTGTTCAATCGTTGTGCTGGGAAGGCTAACCTCGATTGCTCAACACGAATACTCATGTTTGTCCTTGTCGATCCTCGTCGTGGCATTTGTCCAAACATAAGACTAACATTATTCCAGGACCTTTTAAGCAGAGGAGTACTGCAAAGGGGCCACCAAGGCTCAAACTGCCATGTCCTGCCGATTTGGATTCTTAAAGTTTGTGAGTCATCACAGTTTTGAGCGTTAGTTGCCTGAGTGCAAGTTGGACAAAGAGCAATGATTGTTGGATATGCTGCCTGATTCATTGCAGCAAGGCCTTCTGACTGGAACTGACTGCGCCATTGGGTGACATGCACAAAGCAAAATCGCAAGCAGCGCAAATGCAAAGGTACAAGCAGGCAGCGATTGAAGAACGTGGAGACCCCACCCCCCTTGCTTTCAATGAAGAGGCTCTATGGTGCCTGTTCATCAGCTTCCGTTGAGTGGGAAGGTACGGAGTTGCGGTCTTCGCTGGGATCTGTTGTTTGTAAATTTATGTTTCAAGGGTTCGCTAAATACAGTCCAGCACGAACAAATGGGTTGTTGCTTGGTAGCCCGCCCATTGGCGCTGTTCTTCATCATTTTAGGGAAGACCAAAGCAAATCGAGCTTGCGTTGGTCGTCGCGTCTTGATGTGTGAGGCATGGTTGTGGGAGCCGGAGTTTTCGTCCGCAATGACAGGGGACACCCCCTTCCAAGCCACAAAGTAGTCATAGGGATGGCCCACTTCGGTATTTGGGAAGGGTCAAATGCTTCAACCATGAACATGTACACCCCGGATGGATGCCATTGAAGCAGGAAAAGGCCAAACCGACCCCACCCAATTTGTTGGGAACAGCGAAAAAAAAATCGGAGGCACCAGGTGAGGCTCGTGCCGTAAGCCCCAGGACTTTGGGTGGGGCTCTTCCTGTTCAACATCTCCCGGCTCACCACATCGCTGAGCCACCGCTTCTTCTTCGGGCCCCTGGCAAGAAGCAAGGTGAAGGCTGTACAACCTTGAGCTTCCTTTTGCTTAAGAATATGTTGTTGTTTTTTCTCTGGTTTTGAAGGGAATCGATTTCACTGCTGGACATATATATTTTTTTTCCAGGGGACTTGAGCAAATGGAGGACAACCTTGAGTAGCCGCTGCTGAGTTTGGGGTTCGACCCCGGATGAATACTAGGTCAGCATGATCGGTTGCGTACAAGGGCGCCCCTTTGTCTAAGGTTCCCTGTGTCAATTAATGTCTAGCAGCAATGACTGGTCTAGCAGCCTGGTAGAAGATGCCCCCCGACCTTTCCAAAGGCCATCCTGAGACATGGTTGCTGTTGGAATGTCGCAAGCCAGCTGAGTGTGGCAGCTATCAAGATACTCGGGGACTCAGGATGTGCAGCCGCATGACAATTGCAGGCCCACTTGTCCAAAGACGGCCAGTTCGGGCGTTTTAGTTCACTTGCCGGCCATGTGTACTTGTTGGCCATGTTCTTCCCACTTGCTTTGGACTGCTTTGCTTTGTTTCCAGGTCCTTTGGGCAGCTGAGGCGCTGCCTTTTCTCATTCCATTTCGGTTACCTAGTTGTTTAGTAGTTTTTTTTTTTTTGATTTTAGGTTCCATTTAAGTTGCCTTTTTTAAAGTTTGGGACGCCCGAGCGACTATGAGAGCTCTTGGTGCCCGGCAATACCTCGAGGCTTGCACCCGTCAGGCTGAGGACAATTTTTTCGCGAGGACCCGCAGCGGCGGGCGGTTTAAAAGGACGCCCCACGTGTCAAAGCACTGCACCTGAAGGGACACTTCCATTTGGTGAAGATTTTAAAGGGAATGTACTGATGATTCTAAAGGGAATCGATTTCACTACTGGAAGTATGAGGGACATGAGGTTGCCTCGGACAGTACCCAGGTGATGGTGGCTGTCTTTCCAAGAATGGCTGGCGAATAGTGGATAGGAAGGTTTTGGGACCCCGCGTGCCCCGGAGTGCATTTGTCTGCAGATCGACGAACACCCATATGAGCTTGCTTGGGTTGCTCCCAGTCATTTCAGGGACACCATGGGAACCGGACCGTTTTTGTTTTGTTTTTTTTGTGTTTTTTTTTGGCGGGTTGCTCAAGAAGTGGAGGCCCTTCAAAGCCTTTGACCTCCTTTGAAAGGCAAGGCCAAAAGCAAACAACACATGGTAAGACTATGCGAGAGTCAGGCTGTCCGCTTCCTCGAGTTGGGCTCATCCAAGAGCCCACTCGCGTATCTTATGAAGTCTCCCTCTTATCCCAGTTGCAAGCATAGTTACGACATCCACGGGAAGGACATGCAAGCTGCCTATTCTATGTCGAGCGCAAATGGGGGTTTTACCGCGCTTGCTCGGAGGTAGGTCCTGCACTTGCGGATCCAACTGCAATTGTCATATCGACTTGTTTCATGCTGAATTTGTACAATCCATATTTCCAACGCGATTTAAATGTATAGGTCCACAATCCTTTGGTGCATTTTGCTTGGATGTTAGGACTGAGCAACTTGTTGCCAACTAATGAGAATTGGTTGTCCGTATGAAACCACTAAAAGTTGGTCAACTTTTAGCAGGGCTTCGCAGATTTCGCCACCGAGAGTCCACGTTGTTTTGGACGTGTTGCATAAAAACCGCCTCGACTGCCAGCGCCATGGCTTGAGCCAGGCGACGCAGCCGGCCTGGACCCGCAACGCACGGGGCCCCGACGAGCGCTCCGCGTGAAGAGGGTCCTGGCCCCCTGCTGGTTCGGATGAGGTGGGGTCAGATGCCCGGTAGTTTGTGCGTCCCGTTTAACAGGGCTCCTTAAAAGAAATTCATGTTGCAACCATTTGAAACATGGCTTTTTCAACACCAAATTAAAGGGACACCACCATTTACAGGGCAATGTTCAGGTGTATAATGTAAGGATCCCTGTAGGGACAGACATGGCGGAACTTGGGGAACTCACCAAAGTTCCCGCATTCCAAGTGCCTCTTGGAGGAGATGTCTGTTTTGAGCACGCAGCTCAACAGGCATCAGTGTTCTTGAGTTTTGAGAAATGTTGTGCTGAATAAAGACACCTACAAGATGCCAGCCGTTTGTAACGTGTGTCTACTTTACAACACCCTTGGGCCATTGGGGCTTATGATCGGTCTAACCTGGATACCGATCATTGTGCGGCTGCCCTTTGTGTTTCTTCTATTTCATCCTCAGAACATTCTAACCGAAAGCGGAACTGCCACAACATACTGTTAGGCCATGTTGGGCCATGTTTGGCGATTTGGGCTATTTTGTTGAAGCTCCCACGGGCTATCGAACCCTTGCCAGATTTGTTGCCCTGGCGGAAAACACGCGATACTCAAGCTCACTTTACAGTTCTTGTATGTTGCGCAATGGAAGCTGCAACCAACAATCAGCCTTGAGGGTGGGCGAACTGCGTGAGCAACTTGCACTTGGTCCTTGACCATGACCTTTATTGCATGGATATCTACAATTACTTCTGGACATTCCCCTGTCAACCAACATGTAGAGGGTGATTTGAGGATGTCACTTAATGATACTTAATGGACACAGCACCCCTGGACCTGCACATTCGAGGCTGGCTATGACTTCGTCCTTCCCATCGGCTGCTCGGCATCATGCAGGAGGGGTGCGCATCCTTCAAGGATCATGTTTTTTTTTTTGGTTTGTGGCTTTCCTGGCAGAAGAGAAAGTCCTGCTGGGGCGCACTCATGATTTCCTGTTAGGGATGGGGATTTAAGGTCACACGCTCATGTGATACGGTCGCTTTGTCGAGCTGCAGCGCCGCCTTGGGCTTTCTAGGCTAGTCACTTCAGTGGGGTCCCAATGTAATGGACCAAGGCGTTCTCCCGGTTTTCCGGACGGGTCCTTACCCCCCCAGCACTAGGAGCCAAAGACCCTGCATATGGGAGCCTTGAACGACCAAAGGCCTCCAATATCTTTAGGGCAGAGCATCCTCCGCAACTCTATCCTGAGTTCATGGACTTTAAGCTTTTTGGGAAGTTTTAGTGGTGACACAGAAAGTTTGAACTTGTTTTGGCCCATCAACTCAGGAAGTGAGGCAAGGGTTTCAGACTGAGCGCCGCAGAACGTGTGGGGTGTCTGAGGTTATGAGCGTCCATGGGAGCGGCGAGGAGGGGATGGGCATAGGGTACTACGTGGTTGCTTTTCGGTGTGACCTTTGACATTTTACAGTAGTTAAGTTTTTGCAAGCGCTTTATTTTGCCACTGGCAACTTCTCATGATCAATCAATGTTGGTGCTAACTGTGTTGGACTGCGTGGGAAAACATCATGTGCACACGCTGATGCGGCCACCGGACAAATCGCTGGTGAACCCCCTTGCACAAACCTGGTCAATTCAAAAAGCAAACAAGTTTCCATGTGTATTCTGTCCAGTGCCATGTTAGAGGATATGGGGCTTGAGCCCTTTTGGTGATTTCAACATCACATGCCTTTGGGCTGCCAATCGTGTTTGAGTTTCCTCTAGCTGGGCACTGCATCACCCGTTTTGGGGTTGGTTTACAGGTCAAAGGGTTTTCAACAGGAACATCACCCCAATCTTGGCCCTGATTCCTCCAGGGGTGCCTGTTGCTTTGGCAGGGCAGCCGGAAACTGCGAGCTTGGAGGCGGACCCAGACCCCTACATCTTGCAGGCGGGGCATCAACGGCGTGAACTTTTGACTTGTGGCGTGGGGCTTTCCGCAGGTTTTCCTTTTGGTTTGTTCCGCTTGGTGTTGGGTTTGGTTTTCCGTTTGGTTTGTTCCTTGGTTTCCGCTTGGTGTCGGGTTTGGTTCCCCCCCCCCCGCCTCCCGGTTTGTTCCTTGGCTTTCCGCTTGCCATTGGCTTGCTCCTGGCTGACGGCTTGCTTCGGTCGTGCAGACCTACGACGCGCGGCTCGGGAACGCGTGGCGCGCTCAGGGCTTCTTTGCCTGATGCAGGGGGCAAGTAGGGTTCCAATATATGGGGGTGTCATTTTTACGAATAAGCCCCAAAACAGGGCACCATCAAAACAGGACACCCCCATGTGTCTCTAACATATGGCAGTTCAGCAATGTCGGCCGCGAGGGGGGCTGTTGCGGACCCGAGGCAGAAGCAGAAAGTCATTTGCGGACTCGCCTGCAAAGATATTTTTTGAGAGGAGATTCCTTTTGAAGGTGCTGCTTTCTGGGTTCCATTCAAAGTCTGCACCTCCAATTTGAGCACCTGATTCTGCACACATTCTCATACTGCTCAGAGTGGTGCTTTTATAAGGCCGAAGCTTGCATGAGATGGTTGTTCAATGTTGAGTCAGCGTGGCATCCGACTAAGCCTTAAGCCTGCCGTACCTTGGCACTATCATAATTTCTATAAGCTTCACACTGTTGGACCTAGCCCTGGAACCCTACAGCAAGTCCAAGTGAGCCACAATCAAAAGCTGGGGAGATGAAGGTTAATTAGTAAGGGGCAGTCCCAGCCAGAAATAGTTGCAGCCGCCTTCTTAATTCTTGACGCATGGTTCTGGGTAGACCATTTTAATAACGGGATTTGATTGTGACTCAAGCGTCTTGGTTGAGAAAGCTCATTTCTGCCTCTGAATGTGCCACAGGCTGCTCCTCGTCACGCACAACCTATTTTTCGGCGACCGCCAAAGCCTGCTGTCGCCCAACTACGGAGGCGCCGCCCCTGTTTGCTTCAGGACAGCTGCGACGCACCCGGAAGTGGCACTCCTTTCAGTTTTTCCTTATTTGACTTGTGCAGGGCTTCTTTTCCAACTCAATCGGAAAACATTGGGTTCTTTGTTCTTCCGGCCACTGTGATGTAGGAGGTGCCAGGACCCTGCACTTTGCTGATTTGTCCCAGTTTGCAACTTCGGCCCCCATTTCATGTGTCAAACAAACCAAACAGCAGCCGTTATCAGCCTTGCTTAATCAGACAGCACCTCGGGCAGTCGCTGAGTTTTTCAGGGAAGTGTCGGCACAGTCTCAGAAAGCGATCTTGCTTAGGCCCTGGATGCCGTCCTTGTGTTGTGTGTGCTTGTCACATTTAGAAGAAAGCCGCAAGTCTAATTTTACTTACAACATATCCGTCGCATGGCCAAGTCGTTGCGCGATCTGTTTTGCATAACCTCAGGAACTGGAACCCCAGCCCTTGAGGTGCAACAGCGATTCACCACGCTGAAGTTTTAACAGTGGCAGCTCCAACCAAGGTGCCCAAGTTTTTTGAACTAATCTGATGTACTCTAAGCGCCTTTTGTGGGCATCCAGACCAGCTGACTGGGCGATGTGACAAACTTTTGCCGGCAGGCGCTGCTTATCGCACGCTTAGGACCGCCTGTTGGGGTTTGGTTGGGAGCGCAAGGTCTGTGTACGTGCGGATGGGATGTCAATTGCATGGACCTGTTTTATCAGCTGGCTGACTGTTGACTTTCACTTGGTAGCCACCGATTTGGATATCCACTCTTGGACGCATCCCCATGTACTTGTGGCACTTGTGCGGGACAACCTCGTGTTTAGTACACAGAGGCCAGCAACAGTACGCAGGCTGCTTTCTTCTCATCATGCCAAGTCCCCTCAATCTTCAGTTGATAGGCGTTGTTTGGTCCACATGATACGGCTACTTGTGTGGCCTAGATGCTTAATGTGCTGAATGCACATGTGGTCAAAGTGATATTTCATCCGGTACTAGCCCTTCGTCGCATTCCCATCAAACGGGTGTTGTTTGGTGGCTATGCTTCTTGGGGTTGACTCAAAGGGAACCCAGGGCAAAATCATCCATGCTTGGGCAAAATCATCCACGTTTTTTGTTCAGCTTGGTTGAAACTATATACTGGTTTCAGCTTGCTTTCAACCCTTTTTTCCAGTGCCCTGTGTGTGTGTTTTCCTGGAAGTGACGCCTTTCAGGGTTCCCCTGTGGCACAAAAGCCCACTCCGTGGAGCTCAAGCCGTTGGAGTGCATCGGCCGGCGAGGAATCTCGTGGTGCCGCTGCCCTTCACTTTGAACTGTGCCTTCGGCAGCGGTTTGAACTTCGTGGGGGCCTCCTCCCATGCAGATAGACTGGTGGGTCCCCAGAACAGGGCCTAGTAGGGTCCCTTGTGCGAACCTTTCCTTGGGGGAGCTTTGAATAGCAGCTGGAACTTAACCAATGCAAGGCGGCAAGGTGTTCTTTTGGAAGAATCGTTGCACACGAACACGATCACTGCAGAAACAACTTGCAACCAGACTGGTCCTTATATATGATCCAGCAGACCTAAAAGTGACACCAAGGGACAATCTCAGGGGAGGCCCGGGGTTGGGATCTTAGTGTGACCCAGCTTCCAGGGGCGCACAAAGGAGACCCCCCCTTTCCTATGTTTTGCGAGAATTTGATCCCGAGTGGAATGGGGAAAGATGTGGGTCGACCTCACACAAAGGGAAGGACTCTGGACAAGAAGCTTCTTTCTTTCGAGAACTGCCACAGACTATTGAAAACAGCAATTGTTAAAGCAGAACAATGATTGAACATAGATTTGCAAATGGCTGCGCGCTGAATAGCCCATGCTTTTTCTTTAAAATGCAATCCGAAGAAGCATCGAAGTGTTTTGCTTCTCCTTCTTGTTCAGCCCTCTATTTTTCACCCAGTTTGGGTAAGCATCCGTTACAAGAGCTCCTAAACTGGATCTGACCCCGGCCAACTGTTCCGGGGGCCGCCACGCCCCGGGCGAAAGCCTCAGGCACCACCTGGCGGCAGAGCCTGGCCGAGCGAGAGAGGACAGGTCGATGGGCTGGAGACCGGATGTCCTAAATGAAGCAAGCAGGGGGACGGTAGTCCTGTAGATTACACCAAGTTGCTGCAATTTGCAGAGTTTTTGTGGTTGGATGATGGATGTGGTTGGTCCTTTGTGTCCTACTGGAAGGATTACGATTCGTTCTAGGGATTCTTCCGGACCCTTGAGGTACTGGTGCGGGACTTTGTTCATCCACCGTCCGGGTACTTGCCGCCTTGCCAATAGGAACACTGTCGCCCACTGACGTGGTGGAAATTGATCTTCCAGGTACCCTCCCACAGGTGCCATGTTAGCCGGAGAAAGGGTACCAATCCCCCAAACCACCCAAGTAGGGCAACACCCGCGCAGGCCATCGTCTGTGCCCTTCCTCGTCAGCTTCGCTGGGTCACAGAATGGCGTGCCAGCCCCAGTCAAGAGACCTGGGGCATAGCCTCGGTAAGGACCCTTGGGCATCACTCACTCTACACTACACATTTTTTTAAGCGCCCACCCAGGTGCAAAACGAGCCCACCCGTGATGGAGGTCTTCTATGTGCGTGAATTAGAGCTGTTGATGCAGCTCACTGTTTGTGGCGCAGTGGGGGAAGGACTTGGGAACACATCCCTTGACTGTTCTTGGTATGCTCTTCTGCGTTTTGGGTTCCGTCCATATTTTGATGATGGCGCCTTATTTGGGGATCTCTTACTTCCTGTTTTGGACTTCATGTGAACCATGCAGAATACTTTCATGCTTGAGATTTGCTTCTCCTATGGCATTCGAGGCAGTGGTGTGATGAATTGAAGCTGAAGCACTTGTTCTAGTTGATATCTTTCTCCGAGAGCTCCCTTTCTCTCACTTGTTCCATTTCTGGGCACAGAGGAAGCCACATGCTACATAATTGTGCTCAGGCGGCTGCCCTTGTGAGGCAAAGTCCGGCAGGGCCGCATTGACCTGACCACATGTAAGCCAGGCTGAATGAAATCAGTCTGTCAGATAGGCAGTTAGCTGTTGGTGGAGCGGCCCTTTCTAGTCAGCCAAGCCCTGTTGTTCCACCAGGATGGTGTCAGCGCAACCACCTGTTTGCAGGAATCTCTATTTGGCTGTCGGTTGAGCAGCCAGCATTTGAATCTTGGTTCGCCAAGCCCTGCAACCACCTGTTTGCAGGAATCCCACTCTGCCTTTCTGATTTTTGACTTTGCCGCATCCTGTTGGGGCCATGCCGCCTTTGCATCCCCCGCGCCGGCGCTTCGGCGCCCTCCTCGCCGGCAGCTGCCTCCTCGGCGCGTCGCTGGCCTTCGGGGCGCCGGGCTGGTGGCGCCGCGGCTGGCCCCGGCGCCCGGGGAGCGTGGCGGAGGCGGAGCTGCTGTCGCAGCTGGCGGCGCGGCTGCAGCCCGAAGTGGACCTGAAGGAGACTGCGCGAGCCTGCCTTTGTTCAATGCCATATGTGTGTGTGCCAACGTTTTGACTGTGACATTTGCGATAACTCCTAAGTGTAGGCAGTGTTTTCCGCTTGTCGCGTGTGTATGCTTGTTGCTGGCTCAGGGCTGAGTACGCGGCGCAGTGGCCCCGCTTGTCTCACCAGGGTGTTCTTTGTTGGTCTGCCGCCCCTGTTTGCACACAGCGTCTTTGTTACAAGGAGCTTGCAAACCCAGCCGTTCCGCAAGGAGCTCTTCCGCCGGTTCCCGGCGCCTGACACCTGGGGCGGGAACTACCTGGAGCCAGACCTGGCACTGTATGGGGTGCTACAGGACCCAGAGGCCGCGCTCTTCGTAGAGTATGACGGGCAGCTCGGCGTTGGAGTGCCTGCATTGTGATAATATTTCTTGTGTGGAAGTAACAGGAGCCGTTGAGAAGTCTTGCCTTGCAGGTTGCCGTTGCAATAGCAGTCGGGCTGCTGTGCTGAAAGTCAAAGAGGTTGACATGGAAAACAAGCTACTGGAATTTCTACGGCGACGGTGCCAAGAGCTTTGATTGTGTGATGGGCACTTGGTTACTTTCTTGGCTTCTTTGCAGTTCGCATCCAAGGTGGTGGCCACCAAGCCCTCCAAGGCAGTTGCAAGACATATCAAGGCATATTCAGCACGAGGGTATCCAAACCATGAAGAGTCCACACACGGCCTTGCTTTACGTCATGCGCGTGTTGCAAGAACTAATGCTAAATGCACAGAGGGCTTTGATACAGCGGAAGGATCTCTCTTTGATACAGCTCAGGTACTGGCGGCATGCCGAAGCGGAGGGCATGGCCAGAGACGCAGTCAAAAACGCGGCGCTGCTGGCATTTGCGCCGCCTGGGTCACGCGTCCTTCGCATCAACCACGCGTCAAGTGAGGGGTCGCCTGCGTCTGCAGGCAACGTCTTGTGGATCACAGTGAAGCCATGGCGGAGGGGCGACTGTGCTTTGCTTTTGGCGGTCGTCGAGGAGATCACGTGCCAAATTCGTGCGGGGCTGCAGGGAGTATTGCATTTCCGGATTCTGGAACGTTTGGCGTGTAAAAGGGAGGCAGGCACGAGCAGGCTGTCGGTCAAGGCCCTGGAGTTTGCAAGTTCAAGTGCTTCAAAGGGAAACACAACCGATCAGATACGGGAGTTTCTGGCGAAGCGGGGCTTTAGCGTTGAAGTAGGTAGCTGGTACAATGTCATGGGGATGAGCATTGAAGACCAGCTGGATCCGATCCTGCATTGGCTGCACAGTTTGGGCTTGAGCCACGCTCAGTTTGCAAAGGTAGTGGCGCGGTTTCCTAGAGTTTGGAGACTTGGCGTTGAGCAAAACTTGAAGCCTGTGTCAAGATGGATTCTGGGCTTGGGTGTGAGCCGGGTCCAGCTTCGAAAGGTTGTGGTAAGGCGTCCCCAGATTTTGGGATGTAACATTGAGAAGAACTTAAAGCCCACGGCAGACTGGTTTCTTGGCTTGGGCTTGAGGAGGGCCCAGCTTGCAAAGGTGGTGGCCAGTTGTCCGGAAATTATGGGATTAAGCATTGAGCAGAACTTGAAGCCCACGGCAGATTGGATTCTTGGCTTGGGCTTGAGCCGGGCCCAGCTTCCAAAGGCGTTGGTGAGGCATCCGCAGATTCTGGGGTACAGCATTGAGCAGAACTTGAAGCCCACAGCAGATTGGATTCTTGGCCTGGGCTTGAGCGCGGCTCAGTTGGCAAAGGTGGTGGCAGGCTTTCCGCATATTATGGGATACAGTATCGAGCAGAACTTGAGTCCCACGGCAGATTGGTTTCTTGATTTGGGCTTGAGCCGGGCCCAGCTTGCAAAAGCAGTGGCAAGCTTTCCACAGATGTTGGGACTTAGCATCGAGCAGAACTTGAGTCCCACAGCAGAGTGGTTTCTTGGCTTGGGCTTGAGCCAGAAGCAGCTTGCAAAGTTGGTGGCTGGCTTTCCATGCATTTTGGGATATAGCATCGAGCAGAACTTAAAGCCCACGGCAGCTTGGGTTCTTGGCTTGGGCTTGACGCGGGCCCAGCTTGCAAAAGCAGTGGCAAGCTTTCCACAGATGTTGGGACTTAGCATCGAGCAGAACTTGAGTCCCACAGCAGAGTGGTTTCTTGGCTTGGGCTTGAGCCAGAAGCAGCTTGCAAAGTTGGTGGCTGGCTTTCCATGCATTTTGGGATATAGCATCGAGCAGAACTTAAAGCCCACGGCAGCTTGGGTTCTTGGCTTGGGCTTGACGCGGGCCCAGCTTCGAAAGGTTGTGGTAAGGCGTCCGCAATTTTTTGGATACAGCATTGAGCAGAACTTGAAGCCCACAGCAGATTGGATTCTTGGCCTGGGCTTGAGGCGCGCTCAGCTTGCAAAAGTGTTGGCAGGCTTTCCGCAGATTTTAGGGTTAAGCATCGCGCAGAACTTGGAGCCAACAGCAGATTGGTTTTTATGGCTGGGCTTGAGCCGGGCCCAGCTTGCAAAGGCGGTGGCGGGCTTTCCTGAAGTTCTTGCTTTGGCAGTCGACCGCAATTTGAGCCCCAAGTTTGTGTTTTTGTGCAAACATATTGCAGCACCAGTTGCTGTAGAATTAGTGGCCCAGGATCCACGCATATTTTCTTACAGCTTTCAACGTTTGTCCAGTCGGCTGAATGTGCTGTCAGCTGTCAACATGACTGCCAAGCTGTCAGCGGTTTTGAGATTGACCGAGCCGTCGTTTTTGCAAGCGTACGCCTGGACTGAACCAATCATGGCTGTTCTGGAACCTTGCTTGCATTAGAAACCACAACCAGTGCCAGCTTTGCACTGCCGTCAGTCAGTGGTGATGTTACGTATTGCAATTTGCTCACGGCAGTGACCCTTGATTTCAGGGTGGTAGTGTGGTAAGCAGGTTGGGACTTCTGGGGCTTTTGGCCGCTTCGAGGAAATCAAATAATGGCTTTAATTGAGCCGAGCAAGCATGAACGGAGTGCTTTGGGGAAGTGATTAGCAAAGCCCCCCGCCCCCTCCCGCCTTCGCCCCCAAACACATTGGCGGGGGGGGGGGGTCCATGCGGAAAAATAAACACAATTTGAGGTTCAGAGTTGGGCCTACTCAAGTACTCTCGGTAAGCACTGTTGAGTACTGGTTATTAGAGTTGTTTTTATACCTTTAGTATTGTTTTGCGCTCGGCCAGTACTGCTTCCGTTTCGCTTGGTGCGGCAAGCTGACTGTCAAGTGCATCTTGAAAGTGTGGAGTTCACCCATCTAGGAGTAAAACAGGATATCTTGAGCGTCAAACAAGGAATCGGCATGTCCTCCCCCATTGTTTTTCTAGGGTGAGGAAGAGCTTTGAAGCACCCATTGCCTCCCCCCCCACTTGCTGATCGCTACCCGGCATGAGCATGCTCATGTAATGTGCGACTCATCCATGATCTCAGCCTGAGGGATCCTGGGAAGGATGATAAGCTCATGCACTGTGAGCTATGGCCATGGAACGCTGGCGCTGGAGTTCTGACTTGCTGTGCTTAGCCTGAGACGACGTTGGCAGAATCGCGCGGGTTTCAGTTGCGTGTTTCAGCCTGACTCAGGCAATCTGAGGCTTGCGTGACTTGGCGCCTAATTCAGGTCCTGTTATTGAAAGGCCGATCGGAGCAGCGTGTTTTGTGGTAGCTTTGCCATGTTTAGTGACAATTTTTGGTGCCTCCAAAGCCTTGAGGCAAATCAAGAGGCGGCTGTCTTGGTGAGGCAAGGTCCCACACAGGCTTGTGGTGGAATTGCAGCCACCCGTGCTCTTGAGGGAAAAGAAAAGCATGTTTCGTTTCAGATTGTTCGGTTTTTTCTTCTTCTTGTTCAAAATCGATTTCAACTATTCTTTGGATGTCCCTTTGAAATCGAAGAATCTCAGCCTGTTCCATTTTTGTCCCTTGTCCGCCCATGCCTCTGTTCCAGCCTTGACGTCGCGGCTTTGGCACCCCACCCTCGCCCTCAGCTGCCTTCTCGGCGCATGCGTCGCGTTCGGTGCACCCGGGCGGTGGCTCCGGAGCTGGCCCCGGCGCCCGGGAAGCGTGGCGGAGGCGGAGCTTTTGTTGCCGCTGGCGGTGCAGCCCACATCCGACCTCAAGGAGACGAGCGCCGTGTTCTAAAAGTTGGACACCAACAAGTTGTTATGTGACTTGATAAATCCTTTTTGCATCCGAAACAGGGCCCACCATTTTAGAGACCTCCAAGATATCCAGAGATGCACAGAATTCGGCTTTTGTTGGGTTCAGGTGGCCCCTCAACAGTGACTGAATGTCGGCCCTTTCTTCATCGAAGCCCTTCTTCATTCAATCATGAAATGCGATTTGTTTGCCGTAGGCTCGCTGACACCCTTTCTTTTGGCGCAGAGGTGTTCGAGCTGATTGTGCGTGTAGGCGGGGCCCTTGGATGAGTGTTTCTTTCTGTTTGTTGTTTGTGCTGTTGGCTCGTGGCCAGCCTCGACGTGATTTGCCGTTCTTTCAGTATCTGTTGTGGTTTTGGCTCGTTGTGGCACGAAAGTGTTCTCGTTTTCGCGGCTCGGCGGCCAATGGCAGGAGCTCTTCTGGCGGTTCCCGGCGCCGAACACCTGGGCGGGCACTACCTGGAGCCAGGCAGTATGAGTGGTTTGGTCAGCCCTTATTTCCATTTGGATATCTACATTTTGGTACATTTGGCAGCCTTCTTTTGTGCTCCATTGAATGCCGGCCGCACGCCTGCATTTTAAACTTCCGTTTGCTGAAATGAACATGGTCCTGGCTTTCCCCTTGGGTGTCAAATGGAATCTATAACCATTGCACTGTTTTGTTTTGGCAGGGGGTGGCAGGGGCTTAGGCAATGGAGGTTTGTGAAGATGTTTCTTGTGTTGGTTGCATCATCAACGTGTCCAAGAGCCCGCAACGCTCTCTGTCAGCCGGTGTCCTTCCAGATTATACTAGGGCCAAGCAAGCGCAATTCGGTTTGCATGGGGCCGCTCTCTTGTTCAAATCGAAAGTCGGCTTTTTTCCCGTCAACAGCCCAAGTCTATCAGTGTTTGGTCCCTGCTTTGGAGCGTTTCGGGTACTGGCGGCATGCAAAAGAGGTGGCGCTGTTGGCATATGCACCTGGAGGCTTATATGTTTTGCGCGTCAACCATGTTGAGATCAAGAAAGAGATCAAGAAAATGGCCTCTGTGCAACAGAGTGTGTTGTGGATCACGGTGGGAACATGGCGCCGCGCCGACCGCACGTCGCTGCTACTCGTCGTTGAGAAAGCCATACGCCTGATGTACACGAGAATCAATTCCCCGCTTTGCGTGGCGCTTTCTAGACAGAAAAGGGTATGTTGCCACAAGGCGTGATTGGCAGAAAGTGGTGTGCTTGCTGGCCTGGGTATTGAAGATAGAGCTTGGCTTGGGCCTGATCTTCTTTGTAGCGTGCAAAGGCGGTCGGAAACGTCTCGTAACTGCTTTCGCTTATTGTGATCAATAACTTGAGCCCCAAAGTTAGTAGTTGTCTGCCCTCATTGTTCTCCGCGGGCCGCTTTTGAGTTAGTGGCCAAGCACCCACGTGTGTTTTCTTATCGCAGCTTGCGCATAAATGTTGGACCCTCTTTACACTGCCAGTCAGCTGGACCCTATTCAGAGAAAATCTTGAAGGTCTGGGAGGGACAGTATTTACTTTAGCATTGCCAATTCTGCTTTAGTATTGGCAAGGCTGACTCTCAGATTCTCAGGCTTACGTTAGTTTTGCCAATTCTACTTTAACTAGTATTGACAAGGCTGGCTCTCAGATTCCCAGGCTTACGCTAGTCTTGCCAATTCTACATTTGTATTGACAAGGCTGACTCAGATTCCCAGTACTTAGGTTAGCATTGCCAATTCTACTATTGTATTGCTAAGGCTGATTCGCAGATTCCCAGTACTTGCGATAGCACTGCCAATTCTACTATAGTATTGCCAAGGCCGACTCTCAGATTCCCAGTGCTTGCGATAGCACTGCCAATTCTAGTTTAGTATTGCCAAGCCTGATTTTTAGACTTTTAGTACTTTCTTTAATATCTCCAACGACCGTTTTTTCAGTAACGCAGAAAGCAGTTGGACACTAAAGAGGACCCCAAAACAGTGACATCAAAGAGGATCAAGGCCTCTTGTGGGCAACCCCTTTTGTGTGACTGTTTGCCCGTACTTTTGTGTACAGAAGTTTTCTTAAATTCGATGGTTCGCGGACCACTTCAACAAAAGGATTTCCGAATGTTTGCCCGGATCTGTTTGCCCGTTTTTGTTTGCCCGACTTGTTTGCCAAGTTTGTTTGGCCCATATTTTCTCACCGTTTTTTCCCGGCAATCAAACTTTCCACAATAGAGAGCCCCCAAATCAGTCACGGAAAAACACTTCTTACAATAGGGGCTCTATTCCAACTAGAGGTGTAACATTGCAGCTCGTTTTAAACATTCTTCCAGGTAGAAATGACGGCCAAGCTGGTGTCAGCCTTGACTTTGGCGGAGCCAGAATTTATGCGGGTTTATGCGTGTAAGATCGAAAAAGGTGCGGTGCCCTATTTGCAGCCTGTTTGGGCAGTCTAAGAGTGCACGTGGCCCAAGCTGACAGTTAAGCAGGCTCGTCATTGAGTTGCAACTGTTAGGTGTGGGGACTGGTGTGTGACACCGTCATGTTTGCTTCTGCAAAGCTATAGCTTCGGAGTTCGGAAATTGGTCGCCTCGAATGTTAGGGGCATGTCAAAGCACTCCATGGCCGTCAACTTCACCAATCCCATTTTCGGTAAACAGCAACCCCTTGGATCCAACCCCCCTTGTTTTTGGACCCCTCTTGAGTTCGCGCTCCAAGCTCGGCTCATTGGACGACCCGCGCCGAGGAGACCCGCCGCTTGCTCCACAACGGCGCGGAAACGCTGCGCAGCCGCTGGGGGCTGAGCGAAGCCGAAGCCGTGCACTGATGCTTCTTGTGGACCGGCTGACTGTTTAGCTGCGAAGCCCAAAGACGGGTGATTCTGTATTTTTGTTGCTTCCCAAGTCAAACCACCCCTCAGAGAGTGCCCTCAACTTTAAATCCTGAGTGCCTCTGCCAAATGGTCGTGCTTTCGGTTTGCTTTTCGACTAGTTCTCGTCTGCTGGATGGTCTGGAGGGCGACGGGACCTCGTGTTGTTCTGAGCAGTCAGGCCACTTGATATCGAAAGCACGGACCCGGTTGGCCCAAAAACCCGCAGAAGAATCAAGCGGCCATTCAGCAGATGTAGTCTTGAACGCACATCGACGCATATCATTTGACATGCATTAATTCCCCCAAGGATGCACACACAAGAGCCCTGATTGAAGTAAGCTTGGCAGCCGCAATGTGAAGACCTCTCATTTGGTCGACGTTTGGCCCTCGTCACTCAATGGGAGGTGCACGTCATGAAGCTTCCGCGGTCGTTTCCGCCTAGGCCTCAGCGATGCCGACAAGAAAAAGCTGGCCGTGAGGTTTGTGGTGGAGGATGAGGCCGGGGGTGCGCTGCTTGAGTAGGAAATGAGTGACAAAGTGGGCATGGTGGTATGGGAAATGAGCGCTTGGGGTAGGTCTGAAAGGGAGATTTCCCTCACCAGGGACTTGAGAGTACGTACGGACAGAACCTGTACAATCCAGCTTGTGTAGGACAAGATCAATGCGTGCAGCCGCGAATTCAATTCGCCTCGGCCAGGCGCGCGCCCGTTTGAGCCAGGCCGACAGACCGCGGGAGCAAGGGGTTGGAGAAGTGGAGGTTTACTTGCCCTTTAGCATCCAAGGATTCAGAATCGACCACTTTGGTATCATACCTTTCAATCTCACCTGCCTTTTTTCGATTCGAGCTACTGTAACTACCTTAGCAATTATATTGTAAAGGATACTGGCCAGATATTTGGAATGAACAGGGGTACGAAGCACATGTGTGATCCACCTGGTTCATCAATGGCTCCATGGGACGCCACCACACACGAGTCATTGACCAATTTTCTTCAAGCAGTTCGCAGGTGCCTGGGCTGTGCACGGATGCACAGATGTAGATGGTGTCTAGGTGTTTTTCCAAGTTAGGGGTAGGCCTTGTTGCGCGGCTTGCTTGGTGTTGTCTTCCGTGATAGCCATACAAGCATGGGTTTAAACATTTTGAGACCGAGCCATGTGCCCACAGGTGTCCTTTGAGGTCCCTTTGGTTGAAACCAAATGGATTCCACGGCCAAATCAGTTTGGTTCCAGGAACTCATCGATTTGTCCAAAAGGGCGCACAGGAATATCTTCATACCAGTGCCTCTCTCAGCTCGTGATCAGGATCCGTCCTCGGTGCTGGCGGGCTGGTTCGGAGGTGGGTCAAGTCGAGCAGCTGGGAGGGTACAGGTGCTGAACTATTCCGCGTCCAAAAACTTGAGGCTTGTTGTGTTTTAATATTTCTTCATGGCAGTCAGCTCAACAGGCAGGGATCTGGCCTTCATAATCAGCCCAACCTGGGCTGTGTTTTTATGTGTCAGGGAGTCAGGGTGAATGGCAGGCAATGTTCGGCACAATGTGAGTGTTGCTTGTGAAGCAACAGGCAAGTATGCGGAGTGTGCTCGTGAGTTTCCTTCTTGAACGTGCAGCTTGCTGGGCAGTGCTTGCATTTTATGCCTGGCGGGCCAGATTCGGTGCAGTCCTTTGACGACCTGCTCAAGAAGAGCCGGTTTTGCTTGGTGCCGCACTCAGATCACCTTGCTGGCAGCCATAGGTTCAAGCCCTTAGGTAGATTTTGCTGTTACATACGTGTGAACTCACCACAGGTAATGCCTTTGTAAGACTCTAGCTTTCCTCTTGGGCGTTCACAGCTTGGAACAGCTCCCACTTGTGCAATTTGAATGCATGAGCTTCATGCTGGCTCCTTGATGCTTTGCTGCAACTTGCGCACATACTTGGGCCTCCTTCAGTCAAGTGGATCCCCAGCGCCCCACTGGTTTTCTTGGCGCCCCCCGGCCATCCCCTTTAGGTTTCCAGTTTTTTTCAGGATTTTTGGGGTTTAATGGTAGTCGTTCCAGTTAATCCACTAAAAAATAAGCTTCTAGCAGGGGATCTGAGCACAGCCCAGTTTTGAAAACGCTTGCAAGGTGCTGCCGGGCGATGTCTCCGACTTGGCCGGAGCCTCAACGGAAAGCCTGGGAAGTTGTCAGCTTGGTGAAGCTTGGGCCCGGCACCTTCAACGAGTGGGTGATCCTACATGGGTGAATGTCTCACCAAGGAGCCAGCTTGAAGCTCATGCATTCAAATTTTGCATAAGTGGGAGCTGTTCCAAGCTGTGAACGCCCAAGAGGAAAGGTGGAGTCTTACAAAGGCCTATTCCCGGCACCTTCCATCGCAAGTGGGTGATCCTACATGGGTGAACCTCTTCGGGATTTCCTATTGCCCTTTGAAACACCCTTCCAAAAAGGGGGAAAACACACACTGGAAAGCTGGGATTCAGAGGAGGGAGCAATCCATTTGACTGGGACATTTTGCTGTGGATTTGCATGCCAAAGCAAAGCCTCAATTCTTCAAGGCCGATCTTTTGACCTTTTGGTGTTCGCTTCTTTTTTTTCAGCCATGGCTTACCCCAAAAGGTGATCACCTTGGAGTTCTGGGTCCAAACTGGGCAAGTGAGAAAGTGAGAATCAAACCGACGGTTTGTGTCCTTTTTGGTCGATTTGGTCGAAGAATAGAGGGCGATTCCTGGTTTACCAGGTGGTTCAATCAACTACCAGGGCCATCTATGTTTCCAAAAAGGACACCTATGCAAACCGTCGATTTGTGGATTCGTTTCCCTCCCACGGAATTGGACGATTCGAATTCCAGGCCATGCGCTTCTTCCACGCCTTGTCGGCCGGCTGCACGCCGGTGGTGGCCGGAAACCCCGGCGGAGCCGGCGGCTTTTGGCTGGGGAAAGAGAGGCCTGGAGGAGCTCCATTTTTCGGGGTGTTGCGACCGTCAAACAGGGGGATGATATCGCATTATGGAGCCTTTTTGCCCCAAGGAGAAATAGGAGCTTAGCTGTTTAGTGGATATAACCCCGTCACTTCCCCAGAATTAGTTCCCCTTTTTCCATTTTGTTTTTTTTGGAATTGGTCCCCTTTGTTTTCCACGAACCAGGCAAAAATATATATGCATATATATATATATATGCTGGGGTCCCTTTTTTCCAGCTGTGGTTTGGTGGTTAAGGAGGGGCTTGTGGACTTAAGTCCACTTTTTGGGCATACCTCACTTTCTGAGTTCCTGACTTTAAGCATTTATTGGGGTTTGTCATTTTAGTGGCAAACAACCATTTTGGACTTGATTTGGCCAGTCCACTCAGGAACTGAGTTTGGAGCAATTCCTGTCAACTTTCATATTCTTTGCACAACCACGCATCAACTTAGGTATAAACATGTCGTTTGGAATGATCTCGAACACGTTTTCTGTGTTCGGCCAAGGTAGTTTGTGGTTAGCAACCTGGGTTATATCCTACTAGTGAGTTGGGCGGGTCTTGTAACAGCCTTCAAAATGGAATTGGGGAACGGGGGTGACCCTTGAAACTCTACTAGGTCCCCCAGTAGTGCCCTTTCGCCCTTTTTGGGGGGAAGGTTCCCCTACTAAAATAGACTACAGAAAAAGTTGGTACCCATTATTCTAAGCTCTCTACTGGAGGACCTAGTCTATTTATGGCGTTTTGTGGCAACCCATTTTCCCTTGTGCGGCAGACATTGGAGGCACCGGACCGGATCCCCACGCCCCTCCCCATTCAAGGTACCGAGATTGCCCTCCGCTGAGGTGGGCGGCCCTAGCGCCACGGTGCCACTGCCCTTCGCTGAAGCGACAGCCTCAGCTTCACTGGTTTTCAGCAAGTGGTTTTGGTTTTTAGTGTTGGGGTTCTGCTCACTTTTAGTTTGTTGGGGGCTGCAAAACGACTAGTCGTTTTTGCTACCATGCCAAGGGTTGTGAAGTCAGATTTGGAAGTGGAAGCCTTGGCAGAGGCAGCGGGTGGTCGTTTTTTTGGTTGCTTGGGCGGGTCGGTCGGTGGGGTTAATTGGTTGGTTTGAATTTAGTTGTGGTTTGATCTTGGTCGGTAGGTGGTTGGTATGTCGTTCCTTTTGGAAGCTTTTCAAATGGACCCGAGTTGCCGCTTTAGGGCTCCAGGTCTTCGTTGCTGGGCTTTTGGATGTCTCGAAGGACATGGAAAAGGCCAGCAACAAATAGTGCCCGGTTGGTAGGTTAATTGGTTGGTTCGATTTTTGTTCCCGTCTTTTGTTTAGGTACTGCTCAGGGAGTTGCTATCGTAAGATGTTGCTCTTTGCTGTGCTTGCGCTGACATGTCTCCTACTACCTGTTGAGTTGTCTAACCGCAATGCTGCCATTCGCTCTTGGTAGGTGTCAACTCAGCTTGTGTTGAGCATTTCCGGTCAGCAGTCGGTTCCCACCGGGCTCTGAGGATTTGCAGGAGCCCCACCCAAAAAGACCAGGGCTATCGAAAACTCCAGATCTTTCCAGTGCAGAGCCGATGCTGGTGCTGTTCAACAAGCTCAGGAGGATTGAGGGTCCGGAGGCTACATTTTTTGGCCGTTTGGCCAAAAGAGATATTGACCCGCCGTTTCGCAGAATCAGTGCGCCGTTTGCCCTCAACAAACAGACGTTTCTCAAAGCGCCACTTCGAAGGGTGTCCAATGGTCGAGACAAGTTGCCGTTTGGACAGGAACACAATCCGTTTTGATTTGGCACGCGGCTGCCTGCAGTTCCTCAACTTGCAACAGCGTCGTCTCGAAGCAGCACCATCTCGACGGGAAGCATTGCGGTTCAACCAAATCAGCCGAAGAATTGTGCCCTCAGGGAGGCCACAGGGTACATGGATGGCCCTCTTTGAGTACATGTCCGTTTAAGGTCAGTTTGGCCATAATAAATGGCACTGGTCTAGATTGGCTTTATGCCGCATTCAAAATGTACCAGGGACACCCGTTTCCAAAAGGACACATGAATATAGCCCTCTTACCTGTAGGGGGTGCTATGGGGGACCTACCCCTGGATAAGCCTAGATTAAGCCAGGCCCTGAATAAGGCGTTAAGAGTTTCCTTCGCCCTGCTAGGGGTCCATGAACCTGAGGACCTGTACACAAACCGCCGCCAACTCGCCTTGTTTGATGCTTGCCGGACCCAAGTTCCTGGACTACTCGCGCTTCGCCAAGCTTGCGAGGGTGCGGAATGCACACACCTCAGCACCGGAGGGACCGACTGTGGTCCATGGTTATGGCTCATTTTTTATAGGGCTCCTTGTCTACCATGTTTGTTTTTTTGCATTTCCCCTTGTTGGTTTCGAAGGAAATCTATTGCTACTGGGAATATGTCTTGTTTTTCCAGGGGCTTAAGGAAAAAAAATGTCATGGTTGTCCAATGTCCCCGTGAAAGACAAGTAAACAGATATGATTTGGCCTTGGCCTCAGGGTGTCCCTGCAGCTCGGCAGAGAAGTTGGGGATCCCCACTACGCCCACGCCTTATCCCAAGTGGCGAAGAGCATGTGCATCCAACAGCTAGTACATACCAGAGGTGCATGTTGCCAAGGGATGTTAGGACGCGAATGTTTTGCCAACTCATGAGTTTTCCGTATTAAACCACTAAACGTTAAACTTTTGGCAGGGGAGCAGAAAGCAACCAAGACTGTGGATGGACGAAATCCACTTCGCACCACTTTGAAACCATGAGAAAGAAACCATTGTTTGCTGATATTTACGGGGGAATCATCCTTCTAGATGTTTTTTTGAAGTGTTGCAGGATTTGTCCATTCACAGTGTGTTTGTATGTTTGTCCCGTTTTTGTTATTCTTCTGACAATCTACTTCCATTTGTTTAAGAATGTATATATATATATATATTATATTTGTTTCCCCTGTTGGTTTTGAAAGGAATCGATCACTATATACTGGACATAGTTTGTTTTTTCCCAGGGGGCTAAAGCAAATGGAAGTCTAGTTCTGTACAGAGAGAGTGCCAAACTAAAACCATCAGCGCTGGTGTTTCCTCCAGGCTGGTACGGATGTGCGTGGGCTCAAGGCCAAGCGCCTGTCTTCCAGCCGGCCGGTGCCGGCGAATCGCTGACAGCTCCCCTCCCGGCAGTACTTGTTGCTAAGCCCACAAGACGTTGCTAATCCCAACATGTGTAAGACGTGGGCCATGGATTTGGCTCACGAACGTCTTTGTTGATATGTCGGCCATGTGAGGCGCCGTGTCATGTTCTCAGCTCCATTCCTGGAAAAGGGAGGGGCCGCCGTCGCTGGATTTCGGGCGATCGCCCGGTCTGGGTTTCTCAAGCCATGGGGCTGCTTTCCATGGCCGTGTCTCCCCAGGCGCGGGGGAGACGGGGGAGACGGGGGAGACGGGGGAGGACGGGTGGCCAGCGAGAAAGGCCGAAGGCTGTGCGACTCAAACTGGGTGAGCTGTTTTTTGGTGAGAGTTGCCTTATCTAGCTCCCCCAGCTAGATGCCAGCTTTTACCAACTTGCTTGGTTGGGAGGGTTCTCCTACTATAATAGACTACAGAAAAAAGTTGGTACCCCTATTCTAACCTCTCTACTGGAGGACCTAGATATTGTAGAGCGTCTTGCACAGGGAAAGCACACGCATTGACTCTTCAGCTCTATTTCCCCTTGGGTGATTTGAACATCACTAGAATTGTTTGAAGAGGGCTTCTACTGCAGGGTGTGATTACGCTGATGCCGCTAGAGAACATCAGAACCACCATGTCATATAGATGCAAAAGTCCAGAGGCGTTAGGTATGCAAGTGGGGGAGAAGGAACATCTTGAGGAAAGAACCGCCGGGAGTGGTGTGCCAAAGTCCGGATGTAGCTGGATCGATCATAGTGGAATAAACCGTCCAAACGTTCGCTACAATGGCAAAGGAAGCTCAGTCCAACACCCCCCGCCATGCTCCATCGTTTGCCTTGGATTGCATTTGCTCACCGGGGGGCTCCTTAAGTGTTCCAAGGCGGGAACAAAGAGGTTCATACAATTATCAGGGTATGAGGCCGTTGCACATACCGTTTGACCTTCACAGGTTGGATTGTGGTAGTGGGTGTTTGTCCCCAAACCACCCTCAGCTTGGCACATGACAAGATGCTATCAGGTCAAATGCACGCAACCCACAGCTATCCACCCCCAAGAAAAAACAAAAACACAAAAACAGACAACCATAGGAACAGATGTTATGCAGGCCTGAGGTGCATTCGACTGTTTCAAATGCTTTTCTCAAATGTTGCGCGCGCTTGGGGTGCAACAACACGAGAAACGGAAGGACACCTTGTTTCTGGTTCTCTACTGACACACGCAAGAAAAGTACCTATAAACATGGGCTTTGCTGAAACTAGCCGGTTTTTGTTTGTGTGTTTTTCCTTTTTTGGGCGGCTTCCCTTGAGATCCCAGCTTAAAAGGCTCCGCTTCTTCGGAGAAGCGTCATCCGGGTCCTCTGGGTGGCCTATATAGGTGACCTTCAGCGAGAACTCCTCGCTGCGGCGCCTGGAGAAGAGTCCGCTGATGCAGCCCTTGGAGCTGAGCAGGTGCCGGCGACCGCTTCCGACTCGGTGAAGGGGGGGGAGGGGAGGGCAGTGGGGAGGGGGTGTGGGGGGAGGGGGAGGTGTGTGGGGGGGGGAGGGGAGGGCAGTTGATGGCTTGGCGTTTGTTTCGAACAGATCGGGATCAAGGGAATCGGGGGAGCCTTGGGACATGTCGACTCCAGATTCATCAATCTCATGGATTGTTAGGCGGGTGATTTCCACACAAGTGGAGTAGCACTTTGGAGTAGCACTTGTGCGTTGTAGAGAGCCCCAATTGCAGCTTTCTGTGGGGAGACTTTTACAGTAACCTTCCCTATTTTGCGAAGTTTTTCCCCGGGTCACGGTGATTGCCTTCCTTTGATGGAAGTTGTTTGAGGCTGTTGAGACCTTTTTCGGACGCTTTGTAAGACAAACCAAACGGAGACAAACTCGACGACTGACAGAACCACTTTTATCCCTCCAAGCAATTTGAGACCTCTTTTTGAGTTTGTCTTCATATCACTTAGCTAGCCTTTTTGCCCGTTTTCTTCCTTTATTTGCCAGAAAAGAGTTAACCTTTGGCCCAGATGTTCGGACACGCCCTTCAGACAAACAGGCACAAACAATCAGAAACTTGGGCAGACATGGACTAAGGGAGATTTGCTTTCGTTTGCCTTTCAGAATATGTGTTGTTTTCTCTTTTGGTGTTAAAAGGAATCCGTCACCACTGGGAAATTGTTCAGGGCGCTTAAGCAAATGGAGGATTGACCACGCCCGATGTTGCTTTTGTTTTTGTCAAGAGCCTATGTCTGAGTAATTAGTTTCTTTGGGGGCCGAGGGGGATGTTGTGAGTTTCAAGCTGCGTCTCTCATTCCCAGCCAATCAAACCACATCAACCCTGCAAGCGATTTGGTTTCGGCGGTTTGGACCTTACCTCAACAGAAGCCGTTGGTTTCCTAGGTCCCCCAGTAGTGCCCTCTTGAACCCTTTTTTGGGAGCATTCGGCTACTAAAGACTACAGAAAAAGGGGTACCCTTATTCAACCCTGTCTACTGGAGGACCTAGTTGCTCCTGGCTCCCATCGAATCCTCCGGTTCGACTCATGGTTTTTAGTGGTCTCTTGGAGGGTGTTGGGGTTCAAGCAGAGCCTTGAGCCGGATCTGGGTTCCCAGCCTGTCTGGCCCCTTCTCCATGAGCTCGGCTCGTTCTTCTGGGCGCCTGGGCGCCCTCCGAGCGCATCGCCAGGCTCTGCAGCTTTACCCTGGGCTCGCTGATTCTGACGGCGAAGCCCCGGCCGGAGCTGGCCATCAAACGCGAGGAGATCCGCCTGAAGGAGGCGCCGATGAGATCAAGGGGGGCCAGCGCTTCCATTTGCTTAAGACTGTTTTTTTTTCTTTTTTGCCCTGTTGGTTTTAAAGGGAATCTGTGTTTTCCCTCTTGGTTTTAAAGGGAATCGATTTCTAAACCAAATGGAAGAGGGTTGTGTCCACCAAACATGGTGTCCACCCACGGGGGTTTGTGTCCCCCACATGGGTGTGTTCGTACCCGGTGGGTTGGTGTTCTTTGCGCAACGCCGGAAAAACTGAGCATGGTTGAAACGAGCATGGTTGGAATCTAACAATTTGCTGACAGGGCGCCCCAAGCTCCCGCCCGCCCCACCACACCCTCAGGAAGGACCAAACCAGACCATTCCTTGAGTTGTGGGTTGTGGCAATCTGGGGGGTGGATGTGTTGTGGGGAGGTCTCTGTAGATTCCCCCGGAAAAAATGAAAAGAAGGGGGGGGCGTAGGAGAAGCTCTATGGGATTCAATCCCTGGACTCGTTGCACTTCCTGTGTGACCTCCGCGCGTACCGCAGGCTTTGCTGGCCATCGACTGGATTGGCCCTCCGGAGGACCCCGCGGCGGTGGCATCTTGGCGCAAGCCGCCCTTGGTGAGCCGCGGGGGGGGGAGGGGGGGGAGGGGGGGCAAAAAAGGGGTCGAGTGTCCAAGATGTTCCGAGTCTTTTTGGCGGTTCTTCTCACCTGACAGTTCTCTTTTTTGGCCCGAAGGTGAGAAATTATTGTGCGGGGGTGATGTTAGGGGAAGTAAGAGGAGCCCTGTAAAACCAGCTCACCATGACTGAAGTCCTCGACTCTTTTCGGGTTTGGAATGATTGTGTACACTTTGCAGAGAGATGTCGTGTACCAGGAGCAACTGACGGAGTTTACAGCGCAGATGCGAAACCAACCATTTTGAGCCTGCCCCAACCGTGTCCGGAAAGGCCCAGATAGAAATTGCAGATTTCCCTATGCTCGGGGGGGTTCAACTGAAGCACAGGGGCCTGTTGAAGGTGGCTGGTGTCCATCCCAAGTTCCAATTGAAAGCCAACCCATGGCAGAGATTCAAGATGTTCACAAATGGAGGTGCAAACATTGGGCACCTTGTTCTATTGGCGCCTGAAGGGAAGCCAAAAGAAAAACCGCACGCTTGTGGCGTTTAAGAAACGATCAATAACTGGTGTGTCTCTTCTCCGCTCTTTCCCATGACACAGCCGTCACTTTTCTCGCTTTTCTGAGGTCACCCATGTTGGGTGTTTTTCAAAAAGCAATTTGTTTCTACGTGCTTGTGTGATTCATGGCAATACTTGTTGCAACTAAACACGCGGTTAAGCGTTGATGGCAGACAGAAAAGTCGCCAATG